TGAATTTGACAGGGAGCCAGTGGAGAGAAGCTAAAACTGGAGCTAAAACTATTATCTGGGCTCCAAAAACCTCTTTAAGAAGTCTTCAGTTAATCCAAAATGCTGCTGCTAGAGTTTTAATGAGAGTTGGAAGGAGAGATCATATTTCTCCAGTTTTAGCTTCTCTCCACTGGCTCCCTGTCAAATTCAGAATAGAATTTAAAATATTCCTCCTAACATACAAAGCTGTTGTTAAACTCTGTCTGGAGATGAATAAAATGAGTTCAGATGATCTGCTCTTGATTTTTATTATTTTGTGTTGTAGGATTGAATAAACAGTGATTTATGTTTCAGGGTGTCTGACTGACCCATCTGTCAAAAGGACAAATATAATTGATTTATTTGAGTGAATGGGTGATAAAAAGGCCAGACAGGGACAGGTCTGGACAGGCTGCATGTCTCATGTCCATCACTACAACATGAACAGAACCACGGCAGTAAAGGTAAAAACTGTTATGTAACCTCTACAGTTCTTCATGTAATCCTCGCGCTGTTTCCTCTCCAACAACAGAAACATGGAGGGAGAAACGTCTGGGCTGAGCCTCGGACAGGTTTGACCTCATTCCGGGACTCGGAGCTTCGCTTTCCGCCCGGATCTCTCCCCTTCTCCCTGCTCCTCCACCGAACCACCCGATCAGAGCCTCGTTCTCCTGCGCGCTGATCGACAGCCGCTCCGTCCAATCACAGCCTCCGCCATGGCTCCCGGCAGCCAATCAGCGTCGTACGTGAGCCGAGGCCGCGCTCAGCACGCTGCGCCGCGGTGTGTGTTCTGTGTGCCGTGGTGTCGACCCAGCAGTGTTGACAAAAGGCTGAGAAGAAACAGCCCCGAATCAAAAACCCGAGTAACGGCGAACCGCAGCATCCAGGGGCTCCAGAAGGACGGAGAAACAAACCGGAAACAGGAATGTAAAGTCTCCAACCCGGTGCTGTTGTGGACACGGGTTCTGTTCTTGCTGGGACTTTGAGGATTATTCGGTTGGAAGGAAAAGGTTCTTGTGGGTTTGGCTGTTTGAGGCCCACATTTTGCTGCTGTTAGCTCGAGAACTGTCCGCACACAGCAGAACCCCTCACCGCCCTATCCGAACCACAGGCTCCAGGTGAACACKGCTGCCGGAGAGCTCACAGCCACGCGCCCGCCCGGCTGCACCTTCTTACCGGGACTCAGGTTTGGACTCGGGACAGTGTGCGTCTCCCATCCCGGTGGTTCTGTCGGTCTGCGAGCTAACGTTAGCATTAGCACCAGCACCGTCCCTGTATTTACATCTGGGATGATGGGTGATCGCCCGAGCCCGCCCAGGTAATGTTACCTCACCGGCACACATTTTAATTTGGACCTGGCACATTTCTTGTTCCTGATGTTTGWAGTTAAAATGAAATATGTTGTCTGTCCCGGAGCAGAGCTTTGATTTTCCTCTGGGCTGCACACAAAGTTCAGCCTGAGCTAACCCGCGTTAGCCGCACCGCTAATGTTAGCTAGCGACGCCAAAGCTAGTGTTGTGATGTGAACCTTATAACTGCAGTAAAAATACTCATTTATCCCCACATTTAAAACATGTAGTGTGTTTGTGCATGTAGTGAAGACCATAAGAACCGTGGATGTGGTGGTCTGTTCGGGTTCATTGGGAAGCTAASGTCGCTAGCTGTCGTTCCGGTGCTGAGGCGCTGCTAGGCCCGAAGCTGCAGCTCTGTAACCGCTTCATGTTTGACCTCATGTCGTTAATGACCTCCTGCTGCTCCAGCTGATGACAGGAGACATCAAACTGCAGTCACTTTATGGCATTTTATTGTGACGTTTGCTACTTTAATGCCTCATCATTGTGTGCAATGCTGATGTTTGTGTAAGACCAGYCTCTGTGGTCAGTTTAATTGAACATAAAAGATGTTAAAACCTGGTCTGGTGAGKTGAAAAAGGTCCAGTTTTAACTTTGTTGTGTTAAGTTGACCCTTACAAGATTTCATTCTGGTTTTTGGCTTTTTCTGCATAAGATTAATTTAGAAAAAATCTTTAAGTAGGTATCCCAAACAAAAAAATTAACTACATGTTATTGCAATTATTCAAAATTTATTTGTTAGAGAATAAAAAATGAAATCCATTGCACTTTAGATTTTCAAAATCAGGCATGTACTTTTCAAACAGCGGTCATTTTACTCTGGTGACCAGCTGTGCCTCATGTTGACAGTCTGCAGGGCTGTTTTCATGGAGGATAAAACAATGGATCCAATCCTCTAAAACCCAAGAAAATTACTTTACTGACTGACAAACATATATTTAACAAAAAACATAAGTATTTACCCCATTGTCTAAATCACTTTTGAAAATATTGAGTCCCAAAAATGGCAAATATGACAAAATCGCACCAATTGAAAATTATGAGCAAATCAGCCAAATCCATTTCTACACCATCATATCTCAGTAAGTATGACAGCCACAAACCAAATAATCTTTGTGCTGATTGACATTCAACAGTACAAGATGCCCAGTTTTTTTCAGGTAATTCAGTCACTGAGATTCTGAGAAACGACTTCAAAAAAGCAAAAATGGTCAAAAATCACTAATGTCTACAAAAGTGCAAAAAGTGCTGATTTTTGTGTAAGAACAGACTCTGTGGTCAGTTTTATTGAACATAAATGATGTTAAAACCTGGTCTGGTGAGATGAAAAAGGTCCAGTTTTAACTTTGTTGTTGTGTTAAGTTGACCCTTATAAGATTTCAATCTGCTTTTTCTGCACAAGATTATTAAAAAACTGTTAAGTCTTTTCTTACCCCAGAAGGCTTTTTTTTTAATCAAATGGACCAGAATCGTTTGTACATATTGTGTGTACAACCACACACACAGAGTACTGACAGGTACTAGCAGTGAGTGGACAGTGATATAATGGTAGAGGTTTGATGGAGTGACCTGGCCTGACTTTGCTGCTGGATGTTTAAAGTAAAGTAAAGTTTTATTTATATATTTATATGCACCTTTCATAGAAACAGATTCACAAGGTGCTGTACAATCAGAGGCAAATCTAAAAGATATACAATCAGAACAGGATATACAAACATTTGTAACAAAAAGTATAAAAGCTGTARAACCATCAAAATATCAAGACTGTGCAATCCGAAAAATAAAACAAGTAAATAATATCTGGACAAAAAAGYGGAGGGCAGAGTAAAACATTAACATATTAAGATGAAGGATTTTAAATCCAATAAATCTGGAGGCAGGTCTCTGAATGGGCAGATTGTGGAGTACTGGTACATTTTATAAAAATACATTTTTGATAAATTGAAATGATTTTGGATGAAAGTCCTGTCTGTTTGACATATATTAATACGATGAGTTGTACGGTCAGTAGGTAGGGTTTGGTGAAACAGACARTAAAAGGTCAGGCTGCAGAAATTGTTTACATTATTTCCCTCCTGTTMGCTGGTTCTGTCAGACGTCAGAGGTCCATTTGGGCTTGTGTTCAGGAGGTTCTGGTGTTGTGGGCAGAGATAACTCACCATCCAAAGTCTGCTGTTTTTATGAGGAGCTGGTGCAGGAAGTGCCTCATCCTTATCTGCTCCGTGTGGACGTGGGTCTGAAAGTTGCTGAGCTCATTTGTACCTGCTGGTGTGAGGGTAATTATCCCTTCATGGTCAGACGGCAGCATGAACAACACCAGTCCAAAGGTTGGAAACTGGAGATTCAAGATGAAAGAATTAATCTTGGTTTTGACCATTTAAAAGTTGTTTAACAACACATCCTATTGTCTTATTGCTGTGATGGAAATACACACTATAACTGGATGGAAATACACACTATAACTGGATGGAAATACACACTATAACTGGATGGAAATACACACTATAACTGGATNATGGAAATACACACTATAACTGGATGGAAATACACACTATAACTGGATGGAAATACACACTATAACTGGATGGAAATACACACTATAACTGGATGCCTTTCTGTCAGATGTAAAACCATCAGGAGGTGTAAATATGTGTTTGGTTTACTTATAACTATAAAAGTGAAGTTTTTAACAGCTGGAGATGGACAGGCTGTTGTTTCAGTGTGTGGTCTCTGTAAACTTTGGACCATTAATGTATTCTTTCTGCTCACTATGGGATGTCTGATAAACTACAGTAGATTTATTCAGCTTTCAGGGCTCTGTGTGGGTTAACTGGGATTTTATGAGCCAGACTCTGAGTTTCTCTAAGGAGTGGTGCCTGGACGCTCAGTGACAGAAGTGAGGACAGAAGAGTTTAAAATAAAAAAGTAAGTGAACAACCAACACCATGCTTGTCTGATTGACAGCTGGATGTGGAGGACGTCAYTGTTTTCCTTTGTGAAATGAGAGACATGCAGGATTAGACACATCCTTTCTTCACATGTTTGCTTCACTGCTTTTATTTGATGAAAACATGTCAAAGTTTGTGCATCTTTGCTTAAAAAGAACAAATAAACTAAGAAATAACCTGTTTATAAAAGTGTTCCTTTACTGCAAACAGAAGCTTTGCAAAAAAAAAACCTCCCAAAGAGAGAAAAATGAACCCTTTTTAATTTTTGTTTAATGCTCTTTTTAAAATAATGATAAAACCATAAACTTATGTCACTGTCCTGCACAGCATTGGCATAGATAGAATAATAATTTCTAAGTTAAAGTATAGATTATTGCAAAAAACAAAATTTATCACAATTTTTTGGAGTTATTGGAAATAAAATGTCTAAATTCAGGCTCCAGTGAATTGATCAACTCATACAGACGGTGAATTCTGTTCTATTTACATGAAATATCTGCTGAAACTCAACACTTTTCTTGCATCTCATTGTTGCAAACTGCATTACACTGTAAAATTAGATTTGTTTATCGGCGGTAGACATGAGGAAATTGTCCAGGTTGTCAAGCAAACACCCTGTTGACAACAACCGGCTGTCTGCCCAATTTTTTGGTTGACTTTTACAACAGTTGGCAAAAATAAATTCTTGTTGCTAAAACACCTGGTAGAATAAKATTTAGCTGATATTTAGGATAAACTACAAACCTCTGAAAAATGACAGAACTCTGATTTTAAGGAGAAAAATTAATCAAATGGAGACATGTTCAAAATTTAARTCTACCAGATGTTTTAGCAACAACAAGGAGTTATGGCGGTTTTGTGATAAACTTATTTAGCATCAAAGGTAACCAGTTACTGTGATAAATGTAATTCAGTAAATATGGAAAATACAGCGTTAAATGAATACACGAGCTTAAATCTGCAAATCAYAAAAGCTTTTAAACACATATACTAAAGATCAGAATATGTTGGATTATTAATCTTGTTAATCTGAAAAGTTTTTTTTAACTTCAAGAAGTCTTACCAAGTGCAACTGTCAAACTGCAGATTATTAATTATTATTAATTTGAAAAGAATAAGGGTCTGAACAACAGCTGATCGATCACTTAAAATGATCACTGTAGGGGGGGGGCAGCCAGGCGTGTGTGTGTTGGGGGTGCAGACGGGTGGGAAGACGAGGTGGAGGTTGAGGTGGAGGGGTGTGGCCTGTAGCAGACACATAAGGGTGTGGGGGGGCGGGGCTTGGCAAATCATTTTAAAGATTATTTTAAAGGTGAAGCTGAGATTGAGTCTTTTTTTTAATTATTCTTTTTCATGGATAATCTGATAAATAAATTAAATAAAGATATTTACTCTGTAATACTT